TGCTATGGCCATTGCACACACAAAGAACAGGACAGCAAAGATGTCCAACAGCTGCTTATGTAGAAACATCAGTTTAAAAGATTCTTGTATCACCTAAGCTGCTTTTAGTTTTGCAAAGCACATGTTTATTTTCTAGACCTGCCTTTATCACTTTAACCTTGATTTCTGGTATAGGTGACATTGCTTGCTGAGTTCATCTTCACAAGCAGAGCTAAGACATAGAACAGTTTCTCAAATCAAACCATAGTAACATTGCTTTTGATAGAGATGTCAAGAAAAATTATTTGCACAAAATGATTAGCACAAACACCATTAGTCACATTCTGTATATGTTCTGCATCTGCTTGTACTCATACCACATAGATGATAAGGACACTTTGTGAAATATATTCTGATCCAAAGTGTCGTGTTTGCAACAGCTACATAATTACAGTAAATAAAAATATTCTAGATGTTTTGTGGAATATTTCTGAATATCTTAGCTTAACATTTGGTACAAATCTTAATTTGTTAATTATAGACAAATTAAGGTCAGTAAGTTTCCACAATGCTTTCCTGTAAAATGCTTCTCTTAAATGGACACACCAGGGAACCTGATGGGGTAAATCAATGAAAAGTCTATAATATGCTCATCATGTAGACAAAATGAATTAGATGACTTACAGAGTTTGAATCATCAGGTGACATAAAGATCGTAAATCATACAAGGGGCTACACTTCAATATTAGCTTATAGTATATCAACATCCCATCACATTTCTGCTAGACACATAAACACAGCCGACACCGTTTCAACACCTATACTCACTTGTCTCAACATGTAACATGACACAGAGGTCTGGCTTCAACACATTTAAACACATATGCACACACACACTGTATTAATCCAGGTAATTGCATAATGTACAAAACTGGATATAAAATTAAGTCTCTCTGAATCCAAATGGTTCCTTAAAAAGTCATCTATCATTAGATGTGGAGGGACAGTGAACAACAAAGAATGGAAAATGAGTGTGCACTCATCCACACTCCCTTCCTTCCTCCCTCCTTCCACCTGAGCAGTCTCTTCCTCATCATACCTGCTCCTGACCTGATAGGTAGAATGGATGACTGTGTGTGTATAAACTCAAACTAAATAGATCAGGGCTCCTCAAGCATAAAAGCAAATAATATTTTTGTGAAGTTTCCATTAAAGATTTACTCCTTAATCTAAATGTAAACAAAGCAAATAGGTATCTAGACTGGTAATTAAAAAGAGAGAAGATTGGCTCATGTCCTCTCAAAGTTTATATTCAAAATAACTTCAGTCAAAGCTTCTAAAAGACCATGCAATAATAGGCCGAGTAAAACAGTACAAGTCAGACTGTTAGTACCCAGAAAACAGAAGTGTGCAGGAATACGGTTTAGGTCGCAAGAAAGTATGTCTGAACTGTGCCAAAACAGTAAGGAATCATAAAAGATGAGGTTTAAAAGGTCTCAAATATCAACAGCAACACATGATCGCACAGCAAGAAAAAGGTTACCAAGGCTCTGTGTTTGTGTAGACAAAACAAATGCGTGTGACTGGACTAAAAAGTGGCGAGTGGTGACATAAAGGTTACAATATTGAGCTTGAAAAGGGAACATGGATCTGAATCCTCAAGCAGCATGAGAAATTCTTCCAAAATAATATAAACAAGAAACACTCTACACTTTAAAAGTGACTGGGAGAAAAAAGGCATTAGTGTTGTATTAAGTTTCCTAGAATTTAACGTTCAAATGACATTACCCTAACTTCATACAATTCAATGCTAATCCTAAATCAAAATGAAACCACACTGATGCTGATGTTGACTTGAACATGGCAGCATCAATGAAGGTAAAAGTAGTTTTATTAGAATATAGTACAGTTTGTGGTACATTGACAGGATTTTGGAGCCAAATGAGCCAAACTGATGCATTTCGCTCTTGGCGTTCTCACTCATTCAGGCCCTTTACCAGCTGTGTCAACAAGATGCTCCAGCCCCCTGCTGCTACAGGCTTTCTCTTTAGGATACAATTTGTGTTTGCTTGTAACAGGAGCACCAAAATGGCAAAGGAGAAAGCTCTTCACCAGAGAACTGAAGATAATAGACCCAAATGGTTTGTAGAATCTGGCCTTCGGATAAATTCTGCTAAACCTTACCCTCTGTGTAAACACTAGCCACTTAAAAAGTCTTTTTATACAGAACACTTCATTTGGATTAATCCACCTGCATAAGGAAGAGTTTGTGAAAACATTTATTTTCTTTACAACTTGAGGTTTATAACCTGGATGGTTAACCAGGATAATGTGGGTGAGAGGATAATAAGAACATGAAAGCTTCACAAATGGCTTTGCTACCCTTTACCCTCTGTGACCTCACTTTACTTTACTTAACCTTGAGGGAAGAAGCAGATTTCAGATGCTGCTGATGCTAAATGTTCATGCAGCATTTCATGATTGTGCCACATCCTAATCACAGCTGGATCAATCTACCATTCAGCCATAACTACTATTATCATGGATCAGTGCTTTGAGGCCTAGGAACACATGTCCCACCCCACTGTACAATTTCAAAAGGCCTAGTGAAACAGCATAACACAAAGAGGGTCAAGGGTGAACCAAATATCAGTTGTGCAAAAAAGGAACGTTTTACAGACATATGGGTGGTGTACAGGAGCCACATTGTTTAATTGGTCTGGATTTTTATGTATGCTTACCAGCAATGCAAGACTAAACGACTCAAGATACACTGGCTGAACTCCATTTAAACATGACATCAGCAAATACTTCAGCAAAGGTGTGACACACAAAATATATATAAAGAATCTTTGTCACCCCCTCAGAGGGTCAGAATGAGAGTGCCTGGGACACCGCTCATCACAGCTATTTTTCAGAGGATGCCTTGGAAGTATGAAAAGGACAAGGTCCAATGTTTCCCACAAAACATAAATAATTCTGTTCTAACAAGTCCTAACAACAGATTAGGACCCCAATTAGCAGACTGCCCTGAAAGACGGAAAAATGCTAAGGGAGTTAGGCAAGTTTGCATCAATGCATACTGAAATACAAAAGTGCAGTATTTTCAATCTACTTTAATTTCAAAACATCTATTTTCTAGTTTGGGGCAAGGTATGTAGGTCTACATCGTTAACAATTATTAGTGGTAAAACACACTGACACATTATGTAATGATAGATACATTTTCATGACATGATAAAAGACATGTTTTCTTTAAAAAGCTATGCAAATGTGAGATATCCCAAACTAGACACACAGATACAGTAAGACAAATGCATGCATTTTTTAATTGCAGACATAAGAGGCAAACTACTGGCTGTGGCACATGTTGAGAGACATGATGTACCACTTTTCACACAAAACCGATGCATTCCAAATGTTCTCTCTTCACTCTTCCCCAACAATTACAACTCTTCATTTAATTATTAAACTTAAAGGACCAGTGTGTAGGATTTAGTGACATCTAGTTGTGAGGTTCCAGATTGCAACCAGCTGAATACCCCTCCCGTTACCCCTCCATTTCCAAGGGTGTTGGAGAACCTACGGTGGCCTTCAGGTAACGTAAAAACATGAAAGCCCCTCTCTAGAATCACTGCTTAGTTTGTCTGCTATGCGCTACTGTAGAAACATGGCAATGCAACATGGCAGCCTCCCTGGAAGAGGACCCACTCCCTATGTAGACAGGCTCATTATAAACTGACGAAAACACAACAATTCTTAGTTTCAGGTTTACACCAATATACACCAAAACCTCTACATCACTGTCATGGTACAATAATGGATGTGTGCCAGTGGCCTTGCACATTTTCCATTACAGCATAATAGCATAATAACATCAAGATGAATGATTGAATGGGACATGTCCATCAAAAACACAAGGCTACTACAGTCACTTTAAGAAGCCCCAGACAAAAAGTCTTTAATCTGCCTACGTATTTCTGATCACATCCGTGCTAAAGGATAAACTACAAGTTCTGCTTGAACTTGACTTGTGAAAATAAATGTCCTTAGTTTGATCACTGCACAACTCCCACAGGCCTTCTTTTAACTCTGGGATGAGACAGCTGTTCTGCATGTGCTACTGTCTGAAGCAGACTAAAGGTTGCTTTGAGGATGAACAAACTGTACTGTCAAATGATTCTGACACAACAGACACACATGCTCAGGTTCAAAGGTGAAAGAGCAGAGACCAAATTTCTGCAACACAGGGAATCGGTGAGAAAAATCAGGTCATCACATGCAGTTACAAGCTCCCATGGTGTGCAGCTTACGAGAATACAAGCATGTTATGCAATCTACAAGTTTCAGCATGTAAACAGACATTTATCCCTGTCTTTACATTGGCAGGAGAGGAAATCTGGTAGCTATGCAGTGCCTCCAACTCTTATAAACACCTCCATCTACTAAAGGAGCCCCACAGTAAAATGTTTTATTTTACCTGACCATTCATTTGGTAAGTGTGAAATCACAGTAACAAAAACAGTCACTGCTGCATGTTTTCCTATGATGCCAATTCATGTTAATACAAAACTCCATGAAAAAAAGCTCCTCATTTGCAAGGGATGTCCTGCAACAACATCAGAGCCCTTTGACCCCACTGTGGTAAGTGCTTCTCTGGGGAGTTCAAGTTTTCATGTGCACATTTTAGCTAAAATGAGTCAGTTAGTCATGTCAGAACTTAATTACTGTATCCAGCAGAGTAAATATGCCACTATTTACTTACTATTTTCGATTAGGTTCTCAGTGCACAGTTTGGTTCTAGATTTATTTGCAAACATAGCAACTGTGCAGCTATGACAGTTTCACTATACTTGCAACATCTCTTACCAAGTTGACACTAAGACATGCAAGTAACGTTACACATGCAGTCATTCATTCACTCAGGAGGACTCAAGGTAAGGTCTTTAGGGAAAATGCACTCAATGACAACCACACAGACATAGGACTCGCACACACCCACACTGCCCATCAGTACTCACATGCTGGTGCTGTGTCGGTATCAGTAAATGAGGTGAATCCGCTGTCAAGTAACCGGACACCGAGTGTAAACTGTCGACTATCAGAGTGTGTTTATGTGTGCCTTTGCTTCTTTGCTTGCTAACCTCACACACACACACAATAACAGACACACTGCTGCTGCTCGGAAGAGGAAGAGGGAGATAGGGGGTTTATATATGCACACACTTGCGCGCACACACACATACACACACAGGTATACACAGACACACGGAGTGACTTCGGGACGGCCGAGCGGGCGCTCAAAGCGTCGACACCACACGCTGTCACACACGCACTCTCTCTTGCTCAGTCCCTCATATGGTAGTAAAGGTGCTACGACTCTTAAGCTAGTTGCTAACTGTCTACTGTAGCTAACGTAGCTAGCAGCTGGCACCGTCCGTCTCCGTGTGGCGGATATAGGAGTCTGTTACTGCGCCTGCCCCTTACTCCCTGTTAATCTCTCTCTCTCTCTCTCTCTCTCTCTCTCTCTCTCTCTCTCTCTCTCTCTCTCACTCCCTCTCTCCATAAGCTTTCATTCCTCTCTTTGACATGACGCAACCACGCACCCGCCCTCTCTGCTCTCAGCCAATCACAGAAGAGGGCATCACAGCACGCAGCGAGCGGCACTATTTAAAGAGCTCGAGACTAAATTGTCTGCCACATAACATCGATTACGTCTTATTCAACAATATTATAATGTAGCGTACTGTTTACTATTACATAAGTTATTCAGATGATTTTTCACGTTATGAAGGCCAATTATGGGCACTGGCACAAACAAACATTAAGTGTTTTATTTCATATTAACAGTTACTACACAATTGGTAGCAGACAGTTTTACTTTGTGATAGTAGGAAAAGCACAGGTGTTACTAATCACATTACTGATTGAAGTGTCCGTCAGTGTGACAATGAGCGAGTATGCATGATAGCATGACTCTGAAACCAAAGCTGTGATATGGAATTCACCTACCATTAATTTAATTTAATATTTACACCTGTGCTCTTCTTATGTGGCAGGTCGAAATAGCTTACGAGAAAAGGTCTATTAGGACGAAGTCTCACACAAAAATAATGTCAAATAAATGCTACTGTTACTGTTTACTTTCTGCGCAGCTAGCTATAGCTGCTGAACGTAGCATTCAGCTATTTAGCAGTTAAAGCGATATTTTTTTATTAAGATATTTTTTCTCTGGCGTTAACAGAGACCGCAAACAGAGCTAAAATTAAAGTGAGTATTGTACTTACCTTCTTCAGGTGGCCAGAAACACGACTCCATATGAATGATAATGTTGTTCCGTATTTGCTGGATGTGTAAATGGGTAAATGTTTACTAACACATCTGCTATACCAACTTGAACGGTTCGCGCTGTGTTAACTCCTTCCACTGCCCCCAAGTGGCCAAGGGAAGAAAAACAGTTATTTCCAGTTTAATGGAACCACGTGATTATTATGTTATCAGTTACACCAGTGGTTCTTCTGCTGTACTGTCTCCAAGTCAGAATGCCTGCTGTAATATGACACTAATAATAGGGAAAATTGGCCTACAGAGTAGCATGCAGTGTATTACACGGAGAATAATTGTAACAGAAAATTATTCTGCAAACCCACAACTGCTTAAAAATAAAGGTAATTAAATTCAAATAACTGCCGTGTGACCATATCTTGATTACCCTTATAGTATCAAAGTTTTTTCCACAGAAGTTCCTTGGACAGGGGTTTGGAAATTACCTGAATAAGTTGGTCAGTGTGGTCTTTGAAACGGCTTGGATTTTTCCATTGACCAGGATTTGATTACAGGATCTTAAAATGGTTCTTTGTAGTCCTGCATTGTAAAGTGGACAATAGACCGCTATTTTATCTCAAGAACCACACAGGGAAAACTTTGAGGACATTGCATTAAAGTAATTCATTCATTGCCTCCTTATACAAATACTGATCCTAACCTGTAAATGCAGAACACTTGATCCTACTCTAATTAAAAAAAGAAACATCCTAAAACCTAAGTATTTCTGTGAGCTTGAAATGAGAACATCAAGGCTTCAGCCAAATGTCTTTAATTTGCAGAATTGTGTTCACCCATCTACATTTACATGAAGTTATGTAAAGACAGGCGTCCAGTAGCACACACAGACACAATCACACACAGGCTCTCAGCACAAGTACACACATACATGATTGTTTCTCAACTCTTGTTTGTTGTCTTATCGGTTCCAGATAAGAGAGTCTGTGTCAATGACATTCCTCAGAGGACGCATTCAAACTCAACTAGAATTATGGCATGGACAAAAACTAATGTGCCAATCAATTATGTGTTTGTAAGTAAATAAGAAACAATATAAAGCCACACAAATACAGTATAATATTAGTAGGAGTAGTGGGGTTGGGATTCCTGATCAGTTCAAATGACCTATATTTTGTCTTTGCTTTGACCCGATTTATTTCTGAGCTCTCCCACAAGACTTTAAACACACTGCTCTCTCTTTCTCTGTTGCTTACACTCAGTTTCTCTCTCTGCCTGTCCTCAGACAGTCTCTTATTGTGTTGTGATTAAAAACGTTCCTTCATAGTTTCTCACACACCTCCTTTAGAAGCAGAGCCAGTCCTCTCAGACATGCCAAGTGGGCCAACCACAGCGTGCCTAAGTGTTACATCACCAGCGCTGGTGTAGCTAGGCCACATTGGCCCTAGCTAGAAGAATTTTTATTGGGACCTTTCTCTGCATAACAGGCATGATATTTATTCTATTGTCAGCCTATGTGTACTTGAACACAAATGTGAGTGTGCTCAGTTGAGAACAATATTTATCATTCAAATGACCTTTCACCCCCAGTAGCGCAGACTACACCTGTGACACAGAATCATTGTATGCTAATTTAGTTTTTAACTTTTGTGATTAAAGCAAGCCACTATAAAGTAAAACACAATGATACAAATCAGCAGCTGACCTGGTATGTAAATAACTAAGTCAGCTGAGAGGCTGACCAACCTAATGAGTGCAGCAACTAATATTAGTAAGCCTTGTAAAGCTTTTGCAGAAACTTTGTCCACCACAACATTTAAAGATCCAGCAGCAGAGGAAGAGTGAATGAAGTTTCCAGTTTCCATAATAATGTGATGTCTGTGCCAACTATTACATAACAGAGCCCAACCTCCAACTGTGTCAATGACAGCAATCTGCCTCCAAGTACATTATCTTACAAGTTATAAAATCTCAAGATTTACAGTTGATTTACACAATTGAACACTTTCTTCTCCTGGGGATGAGGAAGAAGGGGAAATACTTTTGTTTTAACTAGCTCCATCCTATAAAATTGAAAAGGCTGTGAATCATTATGTCAGCAATTGTTTTTTAAGTGTGTGACAGCGATTTGTACTCTGAACAGTTTTCACATAGTATTACCTCTCAGTGAGACAAAGACATAACAGTGTTGCCAGCCTCTTATATGTGCACTAAATGTGTGTGATTATACATGCAGTATGTTTTTACTTCAGTTTCTGAAAGGAGTGCATTGAATAAGAAGGTGATAAAGGGTGAAACATATGCTGACATGCTTCAACAAATGACTGTTTAATATAGTAATTTAAATACTTTAAATACATCAGATAAAGCCATTTAAGTCAAATTTAAAGCACGTGTCTTTACATTTTATACAAACCACTGTAATATTTAACTGAAAAAATCATGTTGTGTTTTGTTGCTATCCTTTATGCCTGTTTATAACTTCATCTTTATGCTTTCATGGTTATTTCTGATTGACACATTTATTGGCAACATCACATTACAATTTATTATGCCATTGTCACAACAGTGAAATGACTGAAAAGGCTGTTTTTATTTCCTGGTACAACTCTGGCCCAGGAAAAAAAAAAGGGGCAAACGTGAGAACATTAGGATGGGCTATGGTGGGGGCATGAGCTCAGTCAACTGGCAAAGAGCTGCTCACCATGAATAGGTGAATGGCCATTGCTCAGTAACTTCTCTGTTTATTCTCTCCCCATTCCTCCCTCCCCTCTCCCCATTGGTCTAGTCCTCTTCTACCCCTTTATCTACGTGCTCCTGCTCTCTCTTTGAAAAAGGCCCACACTGAGGACTGCTGCTGGTTACTGCTGTTCCTCCGATTTCTCCCCACTCATTGCAAAATGACCAATGGCTATGTGAGCAAAGACTCCAACTACACACCTCCACACAAGGGTAGGATTTCAAGTTCATCAATCCGATTTCAAGTTTGTTTAAGTCTTGCTTAGTCCCCGTGCTTGATATCAAGCTGTATAATAAAATAACACATGGATAGAACTTTTCATAGTTCTGGGATCTATCAACTGTTTGTCTGTATAGGAAGATATTGGCAAGTAAAGAGGACACAACTGACACTGGTAGAACACATTTTTTAACTAGCAACAGCTCATACTATATTACAGAGGGGGGGTGCCTTTTAAAACCAAAATCTAATTAGTTCATCCTCGAGTCTAAGTAAATGTTTTTGCCAAATTTGAGAAAATTCCCTCAATGTGTTCCTGAGATATCGTGTTGATGAAAAGAGGACAGGGAACACAATGCCTCTGGCCACGGAGACATGAAAACAGGCATCAGACAGAGAAAAGAGGCCAGACAAAGTGTCCTAGACGTGGTGGACTTTTGTCAGGGGGAGGGAGGGTTCCAGGGGGAGGAACCATTTTAAAGGCCGTTGTTAAATTTTATGAGAGACATAAACATATACAGTCATAAAGACATGCTGCTCACATATACATGCATACAGACGCATAAAACCACACAGTCAAACACATATCCATGCACTCATACACTTGATAACCCGAAAACTCACAGATTTTCTTTAGCAAGGATACCTAGAAGGACATATGGCCTATTACACACACCTCAACAAACAGGCAAACACACCATACACACACCCATACAAACACTGTTATCACCGTTGTAGTGGCAGTAACATTCATGAAGATATGAGAACAAAGAATACTCACCGCCTTGAGAAATGCAATTGAGCCACCAGATAGATAAGTGACCTAATCAGTACAGGTGAATTGTAAGTAGGCTACACCTGATGACAGAGAATTAAGGACATGTTCTCTGTAGTCTGTGTGAAAATCAATGTATATCTGCAAAAGCTGAATGACCTAAAGGGAACATGTAATCATTTGATTTTTGAAGTTATGAAATGTTGGTGCCATCACAAATGAGCCTTACATGCGTCTTTGTTTGTATGTTTCATTTTAGATCAATCTCATTTTAGCTGACCTGCCTCACACAGAAGCTGTGCACACTGGTACACACAAATTCACAGTGTCCCTTTCCTGGCACCTTGCAGGACACAGTCACAAAAGCACACAATCACTGTAGTTAACCATCAACAGGACAATCCTAGGCACTCAGACAGCTATAACAGAGGAGATGGTCTACCAAGGTCAATATTAGCCCATTATGGTGTTATATCAAAACCTTTCAACAAGCGGTGTGTATGTCTGTCTTTGTGGATGTGTCTGAGTGTGCTCCTGTATGTCTAGCTTTTTGAGGACCTTTTTGAATTTTAGACCTTGAAATTGAAGACATTTTGGAAAAGAGGAACAATTTAGTTGGTCTTCAAAGGATTGTGTAAGAGTTAACATTTTAGATGATACTGTTATTTGATCCAGCCTAGCCTGGCTGTGTCCAAAGATCACTGATGGACCTGTTATATCTAATTTGTTTGATCTGTGTAAAGTTGTGGTTTTACTGAACTTGAAAAACAATCATAAGGTTATAAATTTTATTCAAATGTCAAATGCATAAGAAACATTTAAATATTTTACACACTGAAAGACAGAATTTACAAAAACAAAAACACTAAAAACTGTTAATGTTCTATAAAACTGAGTTTAAAAAATACATAAGTTTGAATAAAAAATGAGTTTGAATTTCAGTTTGAAATCTGAGACCTCAGTGCTAGTAATGCTTTTGGGAGAGTTAAACACTACTGCCAGTTGATTGGCTCTTTCCCCCCCACCGACCCATTTCCTACATCCTCTTTCCCATCTGCGTTGCAGTAGAAGGCCGCAGGGTTGGGGCCATGTCCAAATGAGCCCCATGACTGGTGGAAAGGTAAGATGGTGGCGGGCTCTCTTTGATTTGAGTCACTAGTGCCAATATTGGTGATTACATGAGAGTTTGAAGCAGCGATGTTGCCATACGTCACTGCAGTGCTGGGATCCAGGACATTGGCATTGCTGGGAGTGATGGCATTGCTATTGGTTACAGAGTTGAGGATATTGTCTGCATTGCTTGATGTTCCAGTGAGGCCAGAGGAGGGAAAGGTCAGAGCTGGAGCCTGAGTTGGGAGCAGATTACTGCCTGAGGTGGGCATGAGGTTGGCGGTGCGACTGAGGGCCAGGCGCTGGGTGAGGAGCTGGTGCTGCAGCCGCCTGTCGGTCCAGTCCTCCTGAGGCTGGCGGTGGATTTTCATGTGAGCGTTACGGGACTTGATTTTATAGAACATTCTGGAGAGTGAAAGAGGAAAGACAAAGGCAGAATTGAAGACAGGACTTGAAAATCAAAACCATCTGTTGGCTTGCCAAGAAGCCAAACAGACAAAGTTGTGTTTTTGAGCTTCATCCGGTATGACTGGTTCTACTCACTTGCCACACAGCTTGCAGGGAAAGAAGCTGGCCAATGAGGGCACAGGAACCGCCTCCTCCAGTCCAAACTGTTTGTCCACTGGCTGACAGATGGGTGTTGCCTGTAAAAACAGGACCAATTGTAAGCCACCATGCTGTGATTGACTCATTGAGCTGCATTCCACACTGGATAACAATCTAACTCATTACACAAGACTAAACAAGTACTCCAAATACTCAATATTCTGTACCATGTCAAGAACAGTACATATTCTATCAGTTTCTATTTCCTACGAGGCTTATCTTGCAGGGATCAGAAAGCATGATGCAGTGGAGCCCACAGAGGGTCATGGGTGCAGACAAAACAACAGAGGACAACAACAACAACAGGAAAAGACTAAGCTAAATCAATAACAAAACAGAAACATCAAGGATGTCAGTCCTGGATCAGCTTGACAAGAGGCAGAAACAAGTAAAGTCTTTATTCCCCACTGTTCCTTTCAAGTGTTTCTTACACTTTTCTGCCGCTCCAGTTCTCCATCTCTACTCTCTTCCTCCTTCTGTTTCTTCTGCTTGTCCAGGAGCTTCTTACTCAGGTAGTAAAATTCAATACACTGGCTCACTGTCTTAGTGCTTACCTGCAACACACACACACACACACACAAACAAACATAAACACACATTAGCATACGCACCTGAAAGTATAACTTTTTCCATCTCTACCTCAGCTTGATTCCAAATATCATACTAGCCCACACATTTCATAAAACATAATTAGGCTGACACATTCAGTTGCACTAACACTCTGTAAAATTACATTTTTTACAGCCTTTTATTGGGTCCACTGGGTGAGTGTTCAAGTGATCCTTTTGTGAATCAATTGCAACTTGTAATCCTTTTCAGTGTGCACAGTGTCCTGTGGAAGTGGTGGTGCCCTTTAGGGAGAATTTATATGCACTTTATCACTGCAGCGCCTCAGATTATAGACCATAGATGGAAGCCATGCTGCGTTCAGGTGACTGTAAAGGGAGTTAATGAGTTGAAAGGGAAGGACTTCCTACATTCTAGCTGATGTAAATGATCAGAGGCTGATGAGAGCTAGACATTACTCTTTACTCTGGCTTCCTAGCATCATCACAATTATAATAAAACCGTCCATTTTTTCAATGCACTTAGATGTGTCTGCTGCTCTCCCACTGAATTGCAGGTGAGTCACCAAAAACTGAACTGGTGCAGGCAGGAAAGAGAACACTACACACACTGCACCTTAGGAAAACACTTATTACACTTTTGTGTAATGATACTGCACAAAAATAGAGCAATGAACACGGTAATGATGAGCACAAAGTAGACAACCACTGAGCAGTGTAGTGGACCAAGTGAATGTGAATGCTTCACTTTCCATTTTCTACTCCATTGATTTGATATTGATTTGGTCATCAAAAAAGATGACTTTTTATCACAGTAAATCTTCATCACTGTTGTTAAAACTGGATGTATGCTGCTGTATGTCAAAATGCACCAAAATATAAATACAATAGCTGCAGAAAAAAAAGAATTTCTACTTGTGGGTGTGTGTATGCATGTATACTTTTAGACTAGGACAAAGACATATTAGAAAATGAAGACATTAACAGGATAACCATTAAAAGAATTAGCATAAATAACAATAAATGTATGAATAATTATTATACCATTTTCTGTATGAGTGAAAAGTCTTTTCCGTAAGTCCCCAGAGCTGTGCTGAATAGACTCTTTTCAGTGTCTGTCCAAAAATCACTACCTACAGAGAGAGAGAGAGGGGAGGGGGAGGGGAAGGGAGGTATGACAAATAATGAAAACAAATACCAAAAGATTATCCTGCAATGCAAGAGTTGCTGGGATGCCAAGTAGTGAAACGATTGTACTGAAATATGTTAAGTCCTGCAGCAACTCGACAATACTTAGTGAAAGGAGATGATGTGTCTGAGGAGTTTGTCAGTGTAAATTGTAATGACTGTCTGTTTTAGCAATGCAGCTTGAATGTAGCATGCACCTTTACACCACATTTACACCTACACTATATCTGTAGAGTTGATAAAGGTGATAGATACACAACTAAGTTGCTAAATTACATGTCATAGATTCCCTGAAGACACACACATTGTGAGACTTCACTCAGCAAGCTTCAAAGAGGCAGGGGGGGTGTTTGCCATTTGCTGTGAAGACCTGGGGTGATTCAGGGGGTCAATAGCTGGAGGGGAGTCCTGCGACATGCCAGGGATTTTACACATCTAAATGTTGTTTAGCTGCTCTCAGGTGGACCAAAATTTATAGCAGTACTCCTGAACACAGGGATACAGCCACCTGAGTGGTCACTACTACACAGAACAATGTCTGCTCTGTACTTTACATGGTTCTTTGTGGATTTAAATTCACCAAAGAGACAAAAGGGAGTGAGAGAGAGAGGGAGAATGGCATGTGATTAAAGTGGCAGAAGGTGTGGGCTATTACAAAGGCTACTATTATACCAGAGTGGGAGTGGTTTCTTTTTTGCTGACTCAGTTGCACACAACTGTTGACTGTTGAAAAAACGTCCTTCTCTGCAACACATTTTAGTTATTTTTTCTGTACTGTACTGACTTAGTTCATAAACCAGAATATGGACAGATGTGGGTTTGATACAGTTTCAGTGGGAATGCTCATAGTATTCAAATGACAGGAGTATTTAACTGTGGAGAAATACTCAAACCCAAGCCAAGGAGTTATCTGAACATGAAGTGATCATTTAGGAATTTTCTTTTAACAGGCATAGAATAGTCAAGAGCTAGAGTGAGGTCAAAGGTTACCAGAGTAGTGGTAGTCTCCTGTTGGTGAGGGCTGTGAAAACAGAAGCATCTCCAGAGTGCCCTGCACAGGAGAGAGAGATGGAGGAGGCAGAGAACAGACAGATGAGGCATGCAATGGAATTAACTGGATGTGACAGAAAGAAAGAAAGAAAGAAAGAAAGAAAGAAAGAAAGAAAGAAAGAAAGAAAGAAAGAAAGAAAGAAGACAGCATTAATATTCCTAGTAGCAGCTTACCATTGTGTTCCCGTGGCAGTAGTGCAGGCAGTGCAGAGCCAGCTCTGTGTTACTGCCCCCTCCTGGTAGGCAGCTTGAACTACACATGGACAACAGTGTCTCCACTGCACACAAACACAAACACAACAGTTTTTAACAGTTCATAGCAGACATAATGAACTAAACTAAATGTTACTATGTTACTAAGGTTTTATCTCCCATCATAATTGGAAATTAATTTTCAATTCTCATTTCCCCTTTGAACTGTGGTCCATCTCAGAAATTTGTCTTCCCTCAAAAGTTTGCCCACTTGCTTGTAATGTTGAAGATCTTTGAATTCACCTACACCTTTTGGTCTTAGCATGAAGTTTTGGGGTGGACATCTGCATTAAGGCATGCCCTTTACCTTGCTTTTGTAAGTTAGCGCTCTCATCCAGCTCCTCCGATGGTTTCCAGAGCAACTGTTCCCTGGGGGACTCCTCCTCTGGTGGCCACACCTCTGAGTCCTTGCCATTCGCAAAGCACGGAGGAAGCTCTGCCTGGAACTCTTTACCTACATTGACATAGCTGGAAAGAGGGGAAGACAAAGAAATGAGAATCAATGTGATGATAGACATAAACGGCAACAATGTGAGCTAGAAAAAAACAATACCACTACTGATACTACTAGTAGACCGATAGTAGTCAGTCTATTACTATCCATATCTTGAGCCTGGCATTTCACTTACTGTAACACACCGCCTTCCTCCTCCTCTTCTGCGAATGTTTTGTCCTCTCTGTGATGGAGAGATGAGAGGGGGGAGTACAGCCCCGTCCCCCTGCGAACTGGATTGAGGAGGGGTCGGGGAGTGTAGTGGCCCCTCGTCTGACCCCTGCTGGAGTGAAGGATACTGGGAAAGGGTGTTCCAGTGTAGACCAGAGAGGCTACTTGCTGTAGGAATCCAAGAACAAAGCATTTTGTAGTATTACCGTTATCCTCGTTTAATTAACACATGGTCAGAAACAAAAGCCAGAGAGAAAAATGTGGTGTTTTATAATTGAGGTCATAAAAGCTGACGTATTTAGGCAGTGACCTTACATTTTTTGGTGGTTTGGCTTCTGCACCGGTGTCTAAAACACCTGTGTCCTCAAAAATATATTGAGGCAAATTTTTTTGCCATTTACCCAGAGTAGGGTGATAAGAAATAAATTCATTTCTGTACAAGTACAGAGATAGCTCCATGACATATTTAGAAACAAATCGTCCAACGCCTTTCACCAACTCTAAATGAGTCTTATTTAGACACTGTATCTATTCAGCATGTCTAAAAATAAAAATCCTGTCTAAGACTGTGGTTTTAGAAGCAGTAACGCAGTTAGAGTTAACGTAATTTCTTGACAAACAGCCATTTATGCGTCCGCCCACTATGTCTTCTCCAGCTGTGGCAAGTTTTGCTCCTGGGTTTTTTTGATGGAGGAGTGACAACAATGTGCAAACATGGAAACCTCACAGTGACAAATCCGAACTTGAAACACAGTGTTTGTTTGTGAGTAAGAGCGAAAAAAACACAACATCCTGTATTTACATTTTTATTTATTTCTTATTCTAACTCTACAATTATTTAAAAAGCCTGTCCTCATAGCCTACATTTCTGTCAGTATCAATAGATGTTTTTGGCCTAGACATCCAGTAGCCTTCATCAAAAAACTATTAAGCCAGCTACATCAGTGGAGATATGCAAAAACTCTCTTAAACGTGAGCTTACAACTTAGCAACCAAATGATGATAACTTATACTGGAAAAGCTCAGTCCCGAGAAAACTGCTATTGCTTTTCTGACTCTCAGCAAGAGGAAACACACAAGCACATTTCCCAAAATAGTTTAAATGTCCTTAAATTGTTTCTTTTGTTGAAAAAGTAGAAGCATCATGTCGCCATACCTGTAGCTGTGGCTGGTTAAGAGAGGCTGGTCCATTCTTTACTTTATGGGTCACCAAGTAAGGAGCTACCTTTTCTGCTGAAAGGTGGGGTGGAGGAGAGGGAAGATGTGGGGAGAGATGGAGAGATGGAGTGTTCAAGGGACACAGGGCTCTGGGTGGAGGGTGGAGGGATGAATGATGTGATGGGGAGGTAAGGAATGACGGCTCAGGAGACTGAAGGATGTCGTGTGGGGCTGGAAGAATAACAACAGAGAGGGGAAAAAAAACAGAGGAAAGTCAACAAACTGTAAAACTGCTTGATCATCTTGTGTTTGTGTGTGTAGCAGACAGTCAGACAAAACAACAATCTTACAGTCAGAAACATTACTGTTATCTGTGCAGACAGGAAAGTGTCACACCTCAGCTGACAGAATCTGTTTGTTATTTAGAAACAATGAACACACACGGTAATTCTGACATATTTTATGCTGGTTATCATGTGTGAACATTTCATTTTCTACATGGTGTAAAATAGTACGAAAGACGTCTGTCACAAATGGTTATATATGTGAAAATGTGAAAAGTGAAAATGTCATTTGCATACGGGAAATGGGAAATTTCACAAGTTCACCTACGAGAACCCACATGTCCCGTAAATTTACATGTGGGTATTAACCTGTGTTTTTTTTGTAATTCATTTAAAAATATGTTATTTCAAAGTACTCTAGTCTATTCTAGTTTTTGTTTTTCTCAGCAATTGCAGACTCTGGATAAATTCATATTTATTTTATATTCCTTACTATCATGCTTTCATTCATAGAAATGCCCACACAATACCTCACCTGTGATGTTGCTATACTCAGCACCATGGGAAGATCTTAGGTTGCCCTCATTGCTGCCTGGGTCGCCCGACGACTGTGGAAAGCAATGTGACGGTACTGGAAACCTCCATAACATCCCAGGGGAATGGACAGATGGGAGAGACTGAAGGCGGGAAGAGAAAAACTGGAGCGTACCAATTGATTCTCCCCCCAGGGAAACTGAATGTCCAGTTCCAACGAATGCACTGGGAGAGTCCATTTTGGAGGGCGAGTGAGACGGAGGAGGTAGAGGTGTGGGAGGAGGACTAAGAACTGAAGACATGAGGTGAGATGACGTGGGAGGAGAGGGGAAAGACGGAAGAGAAGGGTGAGCAGGTGAGGAGGAGGAGGAAGGAGGCAGGTAGCAGTCTGAATCAAAAGCACAGCTGTTCCTTGACTTGACCAATCCAGGGCTTTCTCCTTTCCCTACTCCAAATTCCCACATCTGTCCTGAGGACTCCCCACTGGGAACCTGAGGGAATCTTCTCTTTCGCTGAGAGAGGAAAGCCTCAGAAAACGAGTCCAGTTTCTGAGGGTACGTCCCACTGTTGATGGTGATAGGTGACCTCAGTGGTAGGCACCCTGAGGCCAAAGTAAGGGTGTCTGCTGCTCCTCTCCACCTCCCTTCTCCGGTCTGACTCGAGGGAGAGACACTGAGCCACGGTCCCTCAAGCTCAGTTGGTTGAAGCTGATCCTCACCTGAGCCACAGCTGGACCCATAGTCCTCTTCTCTTCCTAAATAATTATCACTCACTCGTGAATCTGTCCTACAATACTCTATACTGCTGTCACTAAAGCTTCCTGCAGCACTTCTGTTGTGGGAAGTAGTTTGTTTAGTAAAGTGGCTAATGCTAGCCTCCCTGTTATAAACTGGTTCACTTTTAGCTTCACAGCTAACCTGGGCATGATTATTATAGCTTGCTCTGAGTTTACGCCTGAGTCCCTCCTCACTGCCACAATTCATGGTGTAAAAACCATCATTTGTGTTACTGTAGCAATCACCTTTACTATAAAAATCATCTGCAATGCTTTCACAACTCTCGCCGTCTTCCCAAACGTCCTCTTTTTTGCCACTAACATACCAGGTGTCAGCAAAATGGCTACCTAACCCACTATCTCTGTCAAGATGGCCTCCCAAGCTAGCATCTCCATCCAAACTTGTATTTTGGAAGCCTCTATCACCCCCACTGCTCCCCCTTTTTCCCCCAGAAGAGGTGTTTGAAGCCGGGAAAGACGCAGATTCTTCCCCTCTGTTTCCATACTGCTCCAGGGAGTCCAGGACTGGCTGGTATCCCGCTTCTGGGCTCTGAAGGCTGGGCAAGGTGAGGTGAAAGGATGGGCGGTGGCGATGGTGGTGAAGGTTGGGGAAGGAACGGTCATCCATGATCGTTTGATGGGTTTAGCTAGAGTGCCTACAGAGCACAGAAAGAAACACAGCGTTAGTCTAAATGAACAAAAATAAAAATCATTCATTAGCATTAATACTTTAACTAGTGCCTTCTCAGCAGTAACAGGTACCAGTTTTACTCCAAAGGTCTTGTGGTCTAGTGGTCTTGGCTGATATACTGTAGTTACTGATATCATAGCTATTGAAAATTTTGACTGTCTTTTCTAGCTATCAGAATTTGAAACTCTACGAGAATATTATGTTGCACAAACTGCTGCTATCAAAATAAAGTACATGAAAAGGATTGTAAAATATCTGCAGTGGTAATATAGCTGACCTTCCTAACTGGGTCACACAATCGGACGCGTCACAGAATTGTGCAACACCGTTACACAGTTAGATCTTTGTTCTCGAGTGCTGTAATTAATCACATTATGAAAACAATTTCTACACAATAGGTCTATTTCAAGAAACAACAGTAGAAAAGAGTTGTCACATTTTTTAGTCCAAGTCTGGTTTGAAGTTTATAGCACGCATTATGATGTTTAGCATTTATGCTAACACAGTCTCCCTCAACTGATGCCATTTGATTTTTGGCATTTTCTGCCCTAAAAAAAGGATTAAAAGATTATCAGATGTGAATTAAAATGCCTGCGTACAATTTAGTCTGAAGGAAAATACATGAGAAGTCATACCGAAGTGTCGCTGCAGGAGAAGCCAAGAAGCTAAAGAAACGGTTATTTTGCCAACAAACGAAATGCTACGTTAAACAAAAAACACTTCAGTTTTTTTTTTGTTTGTTTTCTTTTTAACATTGTATCAAGAACAAGGCAGCATGTTGGAAATTCACTTGTACACTGCATCGAATTAAATCTTAAGTCTTCGTTGGTTTTTCTTTCTTTCTTTCTTGAAACCACATTCTGCTCTAAATAGGACAATGCGTGAGTCAGAAAGAGAAAGAGCAAAAGATGAGATGAAGACAGATACACTGTATACGTTCTGAGGTTTTCTTTTTACCAGTTCTTGGTGCTTAATTTCCTTTTCACACATGTGCGTCCCCTGTTGTTCATGTTTTCGGGTTCTGGTTGTTCTTCTGATTTTCTTCATAATTCTTTCTGACTTTTTTGCTCTTTCGTTCTCCACTGTTTCGAGTGTAGAGTCTTATAATTTCCCCCTTGAGATTTTCA